GCTCATTTGTATGAGGGAAATAGAGGGGAGGGCTTGGAGACATTAAGCTACTTTCCCAAGTAAACAATGGATTTGGAACTTAATCCTACTTGGTTTGATTCATGAGTTCATGTTCTTTGTATCCCATCCTCTGCCACCTGATGTTTTGAAGTTCAGAGGAGATGGTCAAGGAGTGTAATTATGGCCTATGCTTATCTTACTGTACCACATTTAGCAGCCAGGTAACTTTAGATCCAAGTGCTCTCCCTTCCCCCACCCTCAGCAAGGCCCGGACTGTGTGTTTGTTGGATGAGTGTCAGGAGAAGCTGCTCAGTGTCCGGTGGGCTGGGCAGTGTGGGAGCAGGCAGCATGCACTGGTCAGGGCCCTTGGAGCACTACAAACTGCAGCCAACAGCCACCTGCGCCTCCTTCCTTTTTTACCTTCTGATAACTTTCTTTGCCTTAAAATAAGGTTAATGTCAATATGCTTCCCTCTTCTCATATTTCTGGAGAAGATTTCATTCTTGTGAGATGTGAATATCTATATGGGTGTATTTATATTACTCTACTGTCAAGATAAAAATAGATACTATCCTTTAAAAGAAGTATGTTTAGAAAGATTTATATATGGAGCTAAATTAATTTCTGAGAAACTAAGGTATTTTAGTCATTATTTCGCTTCATTCTGGAAACAAGTACAAATGAACACGTCAAAAACTATGACAATGATGCTTCTATAATTTGATTTCTTACATATTCTATTTTTAATTAATAACCACTCTGTATTTATTCTTTAGTTTCCCCAAAGTGTGACTGAACTCAGCTTCTCATGTAAAATAGTTTGTAATTTTTATGTAAGATGACATGTTATTAAGTAAAAAGAATGGCAATTGTTTTTCCACTAATGACCTAGTCATGACAAAGAGTACTAGGCAAATCACTGAGCAAATGTCTAACTCATATATTGTTTTGAAAGAGTCACTTTGTCTTCACCATCAAATTCCAAGTCAAGATGACACTAGAGCTGCATATACTTTAATTTTGGAAATTTATCTTAGATTTTGACCATGCAAGGAACAAAGATGGCGTAGAGGTTTTAGAAATGTCATTTTGAAAATCTTATAGGATTATGATTGAGAGCTGTTCAGTTATCAAAATAATACTTGAAAGTTTCACCCCAAGCACTTGTGGGCCTGGGACTGCCTACACCCTGTGCTGCTTACACATGACTTCAAGGAATAGTAATGATCTCTTGCCAGTAATGGTCATCACCAGAATTCTCCCCACCATGAATGCCCTATCTCCACCTGACTTGCTCTCAAATTTAATTTTAGTACTTCAGCATAATACCAGCTCATGGGGATAACAGCATGGTATATGAAGTTGGTTAAATATTTACAGGGAAAAAAGGAAGGTGTAATGAAGTCTTGAGTGGTTACAGGTGCCATATCTCCATGATCCCATTCTGCGTGTCTCTTATATGACAAAACAGTCAAGAAAATTGATCTTGGAGATACATATATTTAGTGTTAAGGTGTGGATCTTAAATGTCAGTCAAAAGCCCACATATTAAAGGCATGGTCACCAGCCTGTGGCATTATTGGAAGATGGTAGAACCGTTAAGATATCTACTGGGAGGAAGTAGGTCATTAGGGGCATGCCCTTGAAGGGGATTTTGGGATTCCCATCCCTTCCATAATGGTGTTCATTAAACAAGACCTTAAATCTTCCTTTATGTTTGAAAATTTCCAACATAAAAATTTATAAAAACTTAAAAATAACCTATGTGATGAAGAACTTCTAAAGATTTACCAGTAGTTGAAGGGGGAATGGAATATGTGACTGTAATAGAAGTCTACAAATAAAACAAAGGTGCTCATTCTAAAAAAATTCTCTTCATTGTGTTAACCATGGTTCCTATTGGATTTTTTTTGGTGTTTATTAATGACTAATTCATTTATTATTTTTTTCAGTGATTTAGGATTTACAGATTAACTGATAGGTAATACACAGAGTTCCATGTATTCTCTCCTAGTGTTTCCTATCATAAACATCTTGCATTAGTGTGGTATATCTGCTACAACTAGTGGACCAATATTGATGAATTTTTATCAACTATAATCCACATTTTACAATAGAATCCTTCAGGTTTTAACAAATATGTGACGCATGTTCATCATTACAGCATCACAGGAGTAATTGTACTGTCCTAAAAATCTGTGCTCAACCTGTTCAATGCCCCTTCTTCCCTTCCCCTGGCTCTTGGCAAACTCTGGTCTCTTTATTCTCTCCCTATTTTTGCCATTTCCAGAATTTCATATATTTTCAGACTAGCTTCTGTTATTTAGCTACATGCATTTAAGGTACCTCCAAGTCTTTTTTGTGATTCAATAGCTGAATAATATTTCATTATGTGCATAATACCATAGTGTGTTTATCCATTTACCCAGTGAAGGACATCTTAGTTTCTTCCAGTGTTTGGTGACTACGGATAGCATTCAGGTATAAGTTTTTGGGTGGCGCTAAGCTTTCAACTCAATTGGGTAAAATCCTGGAAGTATGATTGTTGGATCTTATGGTAAAATTATGCTTAGCTTTGCATGAAATTGCCAAACTGTCTTCCACAGTGGTTGTACCATCTGGCATTTCCAGCAGCAATGAATGAGCAGTCCTGTTGCTTGTAGGGTGTATCTTTGCCAACATTTGGGATTACTATATTTTTGGTAGATGTGTTGTGCCATTTCATTTTATTTTAATTTGTCATTCCGAGCACATACTTATTTGCTCTTTTTCTATTGCCATTGCTATTTTGTTGAAGTGTCTGTTCCGATCTTTCATTTTTTTAAATTGGGTAATTTTTTTTCTTACTGACATTTCAGTGGCTTTTTTTTTTGTAAAGTGGGTCTTTTCATGATGCAATACTTAGAAGAGCAGGCAACTTGTGAGATTATGGCAAAAAATCACCTGACAAGGACAATAGAGCCAATGGCTAGAAGAAAGCTGAGACACATGGTGCCCTGGAGATGCTGCACAAGCCCTCAGGGATCTCCAGACTTTCTTGGTTTTGTGATATGATGTGCCCCTATCTGGCAAGCACTTTAATCAAGTTACTGTTACAGGTAAAACAATATACTCCCCAATTCAGCAACATTTTTCAAGCACTTACGAAGGTAGACATACCAATTAGTGACTGGTACTTGCCCCGTAACAAGGATACTCTGAGTAATCTGTATTTAAATGACTAGTTCATTGATATAAAATATTTGAAATAATTTTGTTATATTCTGGACACAATGCTAAGAATAGAATTATATTTACTACATATTCAACACTGTCCTAGGCATTATGAGGGGAGAAAAGAAGAGGATAAAATAAGGACTTTCTCATGGGATTGAGGTCTAATTAGAGAGAACACTGACCTTGTATGAAACAATCCTAACACTCCAGGACGGTGTGATGAAGGGCCAGTAGTGAGTGCAAAAGTCTGGCAGCCCCTCATAGAAGGCAGGTGTTACTGGAGAGGGGGAGAGCCAGGAAAAAAGTAACTAGTAACTCTGAAAACGCACTCCAGGTATACTATGCCTTCATATTTTTGTGTTCTAAATCCGTGACCTAAATATAGACATGGCAGCTATTCTGGGTAAGCCAAGATGAAATGAAGTCATTTTAATTTGAATGTCAATTCAGCTTTGGATTCAGCAGACATTTATCACTTCACTATCAATATTTCGAATACTGGGACAGTGTAATCATTCACTAAAATCCTGTTTACCTTATCAAATACCAGTATATTTAATTTTGGCACAATACTAAATCTAAATATATATAATCGGAAACAGAGCTTTTAAAATCCTTCCTTTAAAAATGGTGTAGATTAATAGATTATTGACATAATAGACATTTAATGAAGAGGGTACATGATTTTTCTGTCTTTCTGGTGCCGCAAACTTTGCTAAAATTGTTAGTAACTACTATGCAGCGCTCTGTTTTAAATTGCTGTTGCTAACAATTTAATTGCTGGAACAGATGTGAATTGTTAACACGTATTTGTAAAGACAACAGCGAGACAAGCTGAATTAGTTTTTCTCGGACTCTTTATGGGATTTGAAAGTTCTTTCCTAAAAGTTTTCCCATATGGTTACAAATAAGTTTGTAAATACAAAGAGACACACAAATAAAATACATGTAACGTTTCGGTGTTTTAAAATAAATTTCCTTTGGGACCGAGAACATACCTTGTCTTTTCTGACTTCTCTTCCTTTCCCCCTCCTTTCTTTCCTTAAATCTATTTCAGCCTCGGTCATCTGGTACCACTTGGTCATGTTCTGTGTTGGTAGGTTTAGGAATATCCTGTGTTTATTAGGTATTACGGTTTTTCTCATATGTAATGTGGATAGAAATTGGAGACAGGGCTAATAAAAAGCGAAGAAGACTCTGTAGAGAACGGAGAAGGGAACATTTTGAAGGCAAAGTGTTAAAGGATTTGAGCAGGGCATAAAACCAACTGATGTCAGGGCTATAATCCTCTCAGGGGTGACTGAAAACTCAACCCTGCAGGGTGTTTGAGAACAGACTGGTAAACAGACCTCTGCTCCAGGAGCCCTCAAAACCAGGTAAGAATAGAGTATAGGTGGAACTCAAAGGGCCCTCACTAGGGATACAAGGGCCTCCTGGGTGATTTCAGCCCAAAATATCCCCACCTTTCCATGTTGAGAGAGACTCCAACCAAAGCCTCATTCCAGAGCGGGGGCGGAGAACCAAGGGTAAGAGCCACCTCCTCCGCAATCCCCCGCCCCCCGGCGCCGACGCTCCGCGCTTCTGCTGGCTTCCCGTTGGTCGAGATGCTCGCCAATCCTGGAGAAGCGGCCCAGAGAATGGACTCTGGTTGGCGGAGACGGCGCTGAGCCACCCCCCTTCAGCTCCGATCGGGCCCCCAGCCGGGAGGGGGCGTGGCCGCGGCTGTGGCCCGGCCGGAGGCGGCGTCGCTGGCGCCGTGCGTGTGGTGTGCTGCGGTGCGGTGCGGGCGGGGGCACCGGGCGGTCGCGGTGCAGCGGGACCATGGAGCTCGCAGCGCAGCCCTGGTACCGGCAGCGAGACCGCGGACCGGTGAGTGCGGGATGCGGCCGGCCCGGCTCCGCGGTCCAGGCGCCTTTCCCCGCTCCGGGCCAGACTGCTGCCGGGGGAGGGGAGGGGCGGGCGCGTGCCAGGTCCCCCGCGGCCCCACGGTCAAGTGAAGTTGCAGCATCGCGTTGCGCGCGCTCTGCCTGGGCCCATTGCGGGCCGAGGCGCTGCTCCGCAGCCTGGCTGCGTCCGCGTGTCCAGCTCCCGCGCCGGCCCAGATTCCCGCCGTAGTCGCGCGGCCCGGCTGCCCTTCTCGCGCGCGCGCCCTCCCGGCCCTCCAGCCCCTGCTCTGCCCAGCACACGGTCTCCGGACGCGGGACAGACTCCCGCTCGCCTTGCCTCAGGTGGCGCCCGGGCCTCTCCTTGCGCCCCACTCACGACTCTCCTCGCTGCCCATCTCCAGGGACCTCAGCGTGCATCCCTCCATCCCTGGTGCCTCCGCGCGGCTAGCTAAAATCTGGCTGGGTCGCCGCGTGCCCGCCGCCTCCCGGATACTGCCCTGCCGGGCCTCGGCCGTGCCCTCTTGCTGCCAGCGTGCGTGGCGGCTGCAAGCTCCCCTCCCCCGGGCTGTAGGGCGCGGGGTGCCCGGCCTCTAGGGCCGACTTGGCTGTCCTAGTGCAGAGAGGAACGTCGGGGTAGCCGGCCGGAGTGCGCTGCGGGCGAGGGGAGAGCTGCGCCGCCCGGATGGAGGGTCCCCACCATCATTCCCCAGGGACTGTCCCTGCGCCCTCGCCGCCTGGCCCTCCAGCAGCCTCCGCGCTAGAGCTCGGGAGTGCAAAATCCGTTAGTCTTTGGTACTTAACCGGCAATGGCTATTTCTTCTTGGTTTGGCCTCTCTGAAAGGAATAGTTCCCTACTGGAGAGAAGAGTTCTTAATTATTAAGAAACTATGCGACGGGACTGAGATGAATGGGAGAATGTCATTCTCTTCGCTGCAAATGGGTGGAATAAGGAATCCTTTCTCACTTGGGGAATTCATTTTTAATTTGTTGACTTACTTCCAGCAATGATTTTTGAATTTTCAAAGCTGAAAACTTCTTAGAAGGGCTCGTTTTTTTGTATTGAAGTTCTTAAAATCTAGTGCGTAATGGGGCGTGATATTTTGACTTTTAAGATTGAGAATACATATTTTATTAGGGGACAGGATAACCGTTTGAATAATTTGCATTTTAAAAGTTAGGTTTGTCTAAAACTTAAATGTCTGCAACTCTATATCTAAACCAAGCTCAGTGTTACACTCACTTATTTTTCTGTCAGATCGAGGGGAAATTCTATTGGAACATTGGCAATTTTATCTTGTACTTGTTTTTACCAAACTTTCCCTGTCTAGAAGTGAAACAATGCAGTGATTCTTTACAGTTAGTTCTTTTATCTACTTCAGAGGTTAAACAAGAGAAAGCTGCTTTGACCTTTCCCAAAGGCAGTTCTCATTGTGTCCTCTCTGCCTTCTCCCAGCGTTCTAAAAGCTTCTCCGTAGTACTCATTTTTCTTCATTTTAAAGGTCTTCTGAATTGATATTTACAAAGGATTTGGTTTTGGATGTTTAAAGCTCACGAGGTTACAAAGTTTGGTTGACTTTGTGTATTGACTGTATTTGTGTGGGTCTGTATTCGTGTTTCCTTAAAACAGCAGAAAGAAGCTCGTTCTGGAACTATCTACATATAAACATTGTCTTTGCAATTCCAGTTACTTATGTGAAGTTACTTAATAGCATAGTTTTATCTATTTTAAATTTATGACCTAAATGTCAGTGATGTGGTATGTTAATTTCAAAAAGTCTGAAAGTAGAGATGGAACACGTTTTCCAATTGTCAGTGTGTCTTTATAGCCATACTTTGCAGTTCTATAGAAACCTACATGTGACTTTTTTTTTTTTTGGTAATTGGGATGTTTTGATTAAAACAATTGCGTAGTATAAGTATTAAAAGAATTGTCGGTACTTGTGGGCCAGCACTAGTGCTTTTCTTTAGATTCCAAGAATTTTCTTTGAAGAGTACAGGTTATGTTTTTCACTTGGGAGTGGTTTTACATTGATGTAAATTACTCACCTTCTCTTAGTCTTTTTCTTAAGCACTTTGCAGTCACTCCCCCCACCCCCGGGAAGCTTTACTCTTGGGCATTTGGAAGCAAATGATACTTACAGTCCATGCACTGTTCTTCAGGGATGGTTCTTTATCTGTGACTTAATCCTATGTTGGCAATTCAGAAATATTCTACTCTACTTATATATAACTAGTGCATATTGTAAAAGACATATTAAGGTACATGGAGTAAAGTCTTGGTTCCCTTCCTCCCTTCTGTTGTCACTCCACTCTTGTTTCTTCAGGAGTAATCTTATTAGTGTGGGAAATACCCATCCAGGTTCTCCCCCCCCCCAATGACCTTTCATATTCCAAAAGCATTTAGGGAATGACTACTAAGTACCAGGCACTGTCATAATCACTGGAGTTGCAGAAATAAGAGATGAGAGCTTTCAAGATCTTCATAATCTTTCAAGACAGACAATTACTGTGCAGTGTGATAAGTACTGTGGTAGAGTCAGTAATGAGCCAGGGAGGGGCACGTCTCATATGGATGACCTAACGCATTTATGCACTTGTTTTAAACCTTAAGTATCCATTAGAGTTTATAGTGTATGTGGGAAGACAGTGGGAAGACAGTGATAAACAGATATCTCTGTTAGTCCCTGATAAGCTTGCTGTTCAGGTCTCAGACATTCTAACCATTGGTTACAGTGCAGGTCCTGAAAGGGGCCATCTACAGAGCTCAAATGAGGACTACAAGACCAGAGTTTAGGGTCTGTTCTGAGAGATGAGAGCCTTCCAGAGCAACAACATTCAAGAGAATTGGTCAAAGTCTGGTTTGAGGAAAAACTGTACAAACAGGTGGCCAGGGTGCATTGGAGCAACTGAAAACAAACAACACAAGTTTAGTATGGGGTTGTCGTCAGGTGCAAGGACAGAAAAAGTGGCAAGAAGTGAGACAGAATACTTATTGGCAATACAGGCCATTCTGATGTGTGGCGTTTGTACTTATCTGTGGGTAGTCAGAGACAGTTGAGTTCTGAGCAAAAGAGGAATGTAGTTAGATTTGCTCTTTGGAGAATGAGTTAGAAGGAAGGCTGGAAGGAGAGTTGAGTAGATAGAATTGCTGGGATTTGGTCCTTGGTTGAATGAGTGTGTGTAAGACAGGAGAGCTGGGAGAAGGTGGCTTTTAAGGCAGTGCCTGGTTGTTGTGGGTGGCTCAGATTGGTGACGGCACCATGCTTTCATGCTTAAATAGGAGCAGCAGCATGCAATTGTGGGAAGAAGATGAAGGGTTACACTTGGCCAGGTAAAGTTTCATGTGCCAGTGGGACATGGTTGGCTACATTAGGGATCTGGATATCAGGAGATATCTGGAACAGAAATAGAAATTCAAGAGTGCCTAGCACAGATCCCAGACTATGATTGAGATGCTGTAAGGAAGTCACAGGGAGAATGAATGTTTTAAATTGTTGAAGAAAGCACAGTCATACTTCATATCTGTCCATCCCTGTGAAACTACCATCTCAAGATAGTGAAGTTCTAACCTACACCATACTCCTTTACTATTGAGAAAACATCTTTGTAAAGAGGTTTTGTTTTGTTTTGTGGTATTGGGGCTTGAACTCAGGGTCTTCACTGTGAGCCATTCTACCAGCCATATTTTTGTGTGAAGGGTTTTTTTTTTTTTTTAAGAAAGGGTCTCGTGAACTATTTGCCTGGGCTGGCTTTGAACTGCGATCTTCCTGATCTTTGCCTGCTGAGGAGATAGGATTGTAGATGTGAGCCACCAGCACTTGGCCTTAAAGAGTTCTTTTTTTTTTTTTTTCTCTCTCTTTATCGTTTTTACATTTACTTACATGTGTATACATTGTGCCCCTCCCCCCCAGGCAGAACCTGTTCCACCCTCTTCTTGTATTTTGCTAAGGAGAAAACATAAGAGATAATAAGAAAGACATATTGTTTTTGCTAATTTGGGATAAAGATAGCTATACAGAGAGATTCCTAGTGTTGCTTCCATGCACTTGTGTATTGCAACCCACATTGAGTCATTTCTGCCAGACCTCTTTTGCTACTTCCTACTTTCTGGTCCCCTTCCCATAGTGGCCTCTGCCAATTTTAGATTACTTTATTTGCTCCTCAACAGGGAGCACATCAACCACATTCAAGTTTTAGGTTTTCTTTCCTTTCTCTATTTCTCCCGTGCGTGTTTTCCCCTTAGTGTATTGTATGACCCATGTTCAGTAATATTACTGCATTGGTTTTTGGGTCTATAATCTGCATATGAGGGAAACATGCGAGTTTTGGCCTTCTAAGCCTGGCTAACTTTGCTTAAGATTATGTTCTCTAGTTCCATCCATTTACTTGCAAATGACAAAATTTCATTCTTTGTGGCTGAGTAAAATTCCATCATGTATAAATACCACATTTTCTTGATCCATTTGTCAGTTGTGGGGTATCTTGGCTTGGGTATTGTAAATAGTGCTGCAGTAAATATGGGTGTGCAGGTGATTTTGTAATAACTTGAGTTGCATTCCTTCAGATATATCCCTAGGAATGATATTGCTGGATCATATGGCAGATCTATGTTTAGTTTTTTAAGGAGCCTCCATAATGTTTTCCAAAGTGGCTGTACTAGCTTGCATTCCCACCAGCAGTGTATGAAGGTTCATTTTTCCCGGCATCGTCGCCATCATTTGTTGTTGGTGGTGCTCTTGATGATAGCCATTCTAACAGGGATGAGGTGGAATCTTAATGTGGTTTTGATTTGCATTTCCTTTATGGCCAGGGATGGTGAGCATTTTTTCATGTGTTTTTGGCCATTTGAATTTCTTCTTTTGAGAAAGTTCTGTTTAGTTCAGTTGCCCACTTCTTTTGGTTCATTGATTTTTGGAGAGTTTACTTTTTTGAGCTCTCTGTATATTCTGGTTATCAGTCCTTTGTCTGATGTATAGCTAGCAA